GCGCCACTCCCCAAGCGGGAGGCTTTCCATTCTTTCTGCTACCTGTTTGATTCTAGCTTGCTGAATCTGTTGCAACAACCAGTGAGCCCCACTGCTAACAACCCACAGGCCACTTTTCACACCTCAGCAACAAACCAGGGGTCCTCCTCATGGGACGTTTGTGGCTAGCAAAGCGTGGCTAGGTTCAGACATCGCCACCTGCAGTTCGACAATGTCCCACGCCAACCCTTGAGTGCAGGAGTTCCTCCGAGCCCAAGAACCCAGGAAGTTGCCTTCCACTGAATTGGGCTGAGGTCCTTCCAGCCCATTTGGCAATCATGACGGGCAGCCGTGGCTCTCCAGGTGTAAAGGCAGGAGTTCCTCACATCCTACCTGGAGAGGTTGTTGTGGACAGAAGCTGGGACAGGCTGCACTACCATCAGCAGGGAATATGCCCTCAGGAGGATCCAGGGTTGGTCCACAAGACACTTCCTCTAAGGTCTCACAAAACAGTCCTGGTTGTAGGGCAGATTGCGAAGTCGCAGTCCACCCCAGTGCCATGTGGGACCACAATCCCCTGGCCGAACCCCTAAATCCACAGCTGCATTTCCTGGTAGGGCTGGAAAAAGTCCTGCCTGAAACCAGGAGAGCTGCTGCTGCCAGCCCATGTTGGCAAAACTGAGATAGATGGACCGAGGACCTGCCCCATCTAACACAGCTTCCCATGCCTGCTCAAGTTCTAATCCAGCCCCCCATCTGCTTTTAACTAAGCGCGTGAGGGTGTTCCTGAGAAAGCGCCACTCCACATAGCCACAATCTTTAAAATAATAAATAAATCCATCCCTTCTCATCTGTGGTGAAGGTGCCAGCCCCAAAACACCATCAAGCCAAGCTTTAATTAGTACCCATCACTGCAAGGTTATATGATCTTTCAGAAAACCTTTTCATCTGATCTGGGAAAAAGTATTTCACTCTCAAGAGAGGGATTGAATTTTGCAAAGCTGCTGTTATCACTCATGACCACAAAAACCACATGGGGAGAAAACTTGAGGCTGCCATCACTGACGGCTGGCACTGAACCATGTCTGCCAACTCCAAAAGCTCCTCTCATTTATATCAAGCAAATGCAAACCAGGGCTCTTGCTAGCTGGCTTCCAAGGCCTGAGAGCTGCTGGATATGCTTGCACGGTGGACAGAACAGGAATCACCACACAAACCCCTATGTCATCTCAGTCCCACCAGAGTCAGCTGCTCCTTTTTCACCCCCCCTCCCCAAGTCCAGGATGGGCCTTATGAGCCAGAATGTGAAGATTTTTTTAAACAGAAACCGCTTGTTTTCTTCATTTCTGCACAAATGATGAACATGAAAGTATTTGGTCCCATGTGCAACTAAAATTTGAGTTATATGCTGAAATGTTTTACATTTTCAGAGGGTTACAGAGGCCTTTGATATAAATGTAGAAACCAGATTCACAACTGGGAGTTGCTTTTTGTGATATCTGGAGTGATTGTTACAGTGTGTATCAGATTGCCTTTTGTAAAGTTTCCCTGACAAATAACCTGGACGTGAGGTCTGTCCACCAAAGGCCACCAGGAGAGAAGCCCAGCCTGTTTCTCTATCATCCAAGGCGGCAGGGCATGGTCTGCACTACAAGGAGCCTGATTTTGTTGGGACAGCAGAAAAAACTTCCAAGAAGTCAGAGAAAGACTCAACCGGGGGGGGGGGGGGGCTCTCGACTGCCAGAGTTGTTCAAGTAGAGACTGGGCAGCCACCTGTCCAGACTCTTCCGGCTGGATTCCTGGACTAAGCAGGGGCTGGGCTGGACCCCCACACGTCCCTCTCCAGCTCCGTTTCTGCCGGGCCCAAGCTGAAGAGAAGGTGCGTGTTTCGCACAGTCTGATCCTCCAGGAAGGAAAAACTCTGCTTGGAGAGACTTGCAGCAGTGATCGTATCCTAGTACAGCTGCACGAAGTCCTGCATTAGGAATCCCCAAATTTGGGGGTTCCTAGGAATCTTGCAAGGGTGCTGTGGGCTCTCTCACAAAATGGCTGCCATTGGATGAGGCTTGCTCATTCATAAAACGGATGCCTGGCGGGCACGGCTGGTCACACATCACTCTTTTCCCGGAAGATGAAGTGGTGAGGATGAGGATGGTGAAGCCGCGGCTGCAGTTGGCTCAAGGCTGATGTCTGAGGCAGAGGCGGGATCCGAGCTCCAAACACACAAGTGCTCTTTCGAACCCCACTCAAGGTGGCGCTCCGAGGGCACTTCTGTCGGCTCAGTGAGCCCAAGCAAGCCTGGAGGAGCGCTGGCACCAGCCTTGGTCTCCTCTGCAGTGACCGAAAGGGACCAGCTTTGCATTGCAAAGACTCGCAGGCTGGTGTGCAAAGCCAGGCGGAAATTCGTACCTGGGAAAGACCTCTTTCCCTGCATCACGTCACGGTACCACAGATTCCTCCCAGCGTCTCCCCCTAGGATGAGGCTCACACACACCAGCCCGAAGCAGGCTCCCGCACCATCTGTATATCCAATGTAAATCAGGAGGATATGAGAGGGCTTTTCAGATGAAGAAAGAGGGAGAAAAAGAATGGGGGGAAAGGAGGGGGGAACATGGGGAGGGGAGACCCGGGCAAGAGGCGGGGAAGAGACGTGAGTTGCACATTCTGGGAAGCCCCCCATGATTAGTCACGTAGCATTAATCTGCCTGCCCTGACAATAGCTGCCGAATTTCGACCAAATCCCAGCTGTCACTCTTTGAATGAAAGAAAACAAGATTTAGAGCGTCAAGCGTTGGTACGGCTTCTGCAGGCAGAAAAAATTGTGGCGCGCATTCATTAGCGCCTCACAAAGGAGACCTGCCTTTGTCCAGTAAATTGCTCATGTGCCGATTAATTTGCCGAGGGGTTCCCGCCATCTCTCGCGCTCCCCCCTGGGCAAACAGAAAACACCAAATGGGAAGCAAATGAAATGCTCGCACAGGCTTCTGTTGCGCCCCCCCCCCCCCCGCATCATTCCTCAGCCACACAGAGAAAAGGCTGCCATTCAGCAGCTGGGATTAGAAATGCCCCTAAGGAAGCAGTCTCCGTTGCCACCTCTCCCGCTCGCTGGTCTGCACAGCTGCTTCTAACGGGGGAAATCTCTGTATTTTCACTCTCGGTCCAGTGCAGTGGCAAGCTACTTATATGGATGCAAGTCCCACTGAATGCGCTTGAGTCTGGGGTGGGGTTGAGCGGCTCTCAAGTTTCACTTCGGAAAAGGTTCAGAGGAGAGAGAACAAAAGAGGCGGCCTGCCGGATCAGACCAGGCTCCGTCTAGCCCAGTATTCTGCTCACACAGTGGCCAGCTGGCTGCCTCAACTGGAAGTCCACAAGTGGGACAGGAGGACAACAGCACCCATGCTCCCCAGCAACCAAGACGATGTGCTTCTGGACCTGGCAGTAGCACAGAACCGCCCGGGATGGCAGCCAGGGGAACTGGCCCAGCCCCCTTTGAGAGCCATTCAAGTCGGTGGCCCTCAGAGCGACTCGCGGTAGCCGATGCCGTTCTGCGCTGGCTGAGGAGGACGTCCTTTGATCTATCGAGGTTCCCCCACCCATCAGCTTTTCAAAATGACTGCAGGTCCCAGCTGCAGGGGACGGAAAAAGACCCCCCGTTTGCTTCTCCACAGCAGGCACAGCGGGGACCACGGCACCGTGGCGTGCCCCCTGCGGCCTCTCCCGGCAGGACTGGCAAAGCTCCCACAGAAACTCTGGCGCCCCACCGCTGCTGGCAGCCAGCTGGACCCAAGGCCTGGCTTGGCACTGGGCAGCTTCCTGTCCTCCTAGAACTGGGGAAGCGCTCCTTGCTGCCCTGGTTACTGTTCGCTGTCAGGAAAACGGCTCCCGGCAACCATCCCTGGGCTGGGCGAGCTGGAGGTCCGAGGGCTCTCAGGCTCTGCCACATGCCAGCTTCCACACCACTCATGGGGCTTGGCAAAAGAAAGCCACGAAGCTTGGCTTGGTGGCCCGGCATCGTGTTAATCCAGCCTTCCTCTTGGACTGTCATACCTGCAGCTCCAGCATGTATGGAAGGCTGGCACAAGGCAACACCTTTGTTTGTTGACTTCAGGGAAATCAGGAGGCATCTTTTCAAACTTTTAAACTCCCAAGGGAAAGTTTCAAGCCAAATGCCACTGCTCAGAACTGCTTTGAACAGTCTCTTATTACCAGCATATGGCATGATTCTATCCCATTTGCCATGTCCAAGAACAACTGACAGATCAGCTGATATGGCTAGATAATGGATCGACAACTTCTGCCTGCCCAGAAGCTCTGGCCTTCAACTCCCATCGCTCCTAGCCAACACAGCCAATAGCGAGGAATGATGGGAATCGTAGGCCAAATATCTGAGGGCCACGAGTTGCTCACCTCTGAATTCAACCCTATCCTATCCCCTCCCTAACCCAGGTGTCAATTGAGGAGGAGGCAGACAATAATTTGCCCAGACAGCACACCCTGCAGGTCCCCTTCCTGCGCGCGGAGCTCAGGCCTGAATCCAGGTGCAAGCGATCGAACCGGCAAGTGCCATTCCTGTGGCACCATCTTGGAAGCGACAGCGTTCCTGAGAGCATCCATGTCTGCTAGAGGAAACGTGCAGCACACACGCCCCTAATCTCGGAGGGACGCCAGGGAACCATGCACTCCAAACTGCACGCCCAACCGCGTGTCTGGAGACAAGCGGCCCCCTCCCTCACTCACTGCCAAATGCCAGCCCCTGCGCGCCCCCCCGCCACGCCATCGCTGCCAGCTTCTTCCCAGGCCGTGAACACGGCTGTTCGATCCGCCAGAGTCGCACACTTCCGTCCCCCACGCAGCCCTAACCCCTCCGCCCTTCTCACGGCCGTGGCCCACGAGGCCAGGGGATGGAACGACATCCAACCGCTAGCGAAGACACAACTATTGTGTGCTTTCTTCCTGTCCCTCGGAACTAGCATTCCGCATCGCTCCCATCTGTCGGATGCCCAGGGTCGCGCCATACTCACAGGCACGTCTCTGTTCCATTGTGATAGGATTCACACCTTCCACCATTCAAGCAGGAAGACTGGGAACACTGGAAACCTGCAACGAAAGAGCAGAAGGTGACCCTGAAGAACTTGAGAACGGCGAAGCGGAGAGCCCAAGACAGAGATCGGCACTTGTGAACCCAGCTCCACAAGGCACCCTCCACAGGCGCTGCTTTGCTTCCCTTCGTTACGCTCGTATATGGACTGCCGCAGACCCCCCCACGTGCACAGGCCGATCCAGCCCCCTGCCGCACCTCTTTCCTCCTAGCAGCAGTGCCTCCAGAAGGCACACATGGGCAATGAGACCACAGCTCCCACTGTCCCTCACCACTGGGCCTGCTGGCTGTGACTGACGGAAACTGCAATTCAGTGACACATGGAGTGGGGTACAAGACGTCCGGCCCCTGACATAAGGTTAGAAAGCCCTAGATCCCACTTACAGATGGGGGTCTGAGCCCAAAAAGCAAGGGATCTTGGAATCATAGCACAGTGGAGTTGGAAGGGCCCAAGAAGGCCATCGAGTCCAGCCCCCTGCTGTTGCAGGACACCAGGTCACACCATCCACTCAGAGGGCTGCCCAGTCTCTCTCTGAATGTCTCCTGTGTGGGAGAGCCCCCCCCCCCCGCCCGCCACAACCCTCGCTAGAGGCCACAGCACCTTAAAGCCCTGAAGCCACGTTTTCAAGATACAGGCCTGCAAGCTGGCTGCTAGAGGAGACTCATGGGGAACCCCTAGACGCAAAGCGCTGAACCAAGCCCGGCGGCCATCTCACCTGAATTGCGGCTATAAACCGGCCTGGCAGCGTGAAGCAGCCCTGCCGACCTGATACGCTGCACCCCTGGCCAGCGTGGGAAGTGGGGAAGGGCTGATTAGAAAGCTGCCCCGCGCGGCTTCTTCTAATGGAAGGAGGGAAACATTCGTGCAGCCTTCCAATTGTGAGCGATCCTCAGCAGCGAGAGGTTCTCCATCCATGGCTGCAGTCACACCACGGAAGCCCCTCCAGATCAGCCAGAGCAAGACTAAACCACACACACACAGAGGCAGCAGGCTGGGGGGCTGAAGTTCAGGCGCGGCCCCTCCCTGGGGCACCCCGTCCCATCCCCGGGCTTCATGCGGGTGTTACTGGGTTCTGAAAGGTTCAAATGCCTCTCCAAAGGCCGAAAGAGGCCAGAGGTTCTGCCCTGCCCCTTTCGCCTTGCGCCTCACGCACCCCGAGAGCTTCTCCAAAATGGAATTTGGCCCTTAGGCAGTGGAAACTCAGCGCTCTCATGACAGGCGCCCTGCTTGCTCTGCCATGCACAGAGTGCTTGAGCACATTGAAATGCAAGCACAAGATGCAGCCGGGCCTCGGCAAAAACGCGGCACAAAGGAAATCCCAAGCCTGCCATGAAATTAATTAGTGCATAGAATTAACCCACAGAAGAACTCAGTCTGTGCTTGCAGTTTGCTCGGACTCCAGAGAAGAGGTTTCTGAAGGCTTCAGGGGCAAGCCGGGTGGCCAGACCAACATGGCAAGGTATGCCGGAACTGGGGCCTGGGAGGGGGCCAGCAGCAAGGAAAGAAGGGTAGAACTGGACTCCTCAGAGTCCAGATCCATCCCACAGTCTTTGCGAGTCCTGGCCACCGCTGACCTTGTCCTGGATCCTGCCCACAACATGCCATGGTTCTCCACCACCTTCAAGGACGAGCGCCTGCCCTCTCTCCCTCCTTTCTGAAAACAGCCTGGACCACATTTCAGGATGCCACATTCCACACGTACCTCAATGCTGGGAAAATGCAGAGCGCCGGACCGATAAGAGCAGCGGGGCTGTCCTAGCAGCGTGCCAAGAGACGCTAGCAGGACTACAAGCAGTTCTGGCTGGCCAGAAGCAGGGAGATGGCACGGCTGACTTTGCTGAAGACCAGCGGTGAGGACTGACCAAAATGTACCACAGAGCCAGCCAGGTTGGTGCTCAGGCCACCCTTTAAAAGCCTAAAAGGAGCGGTGTTTTTTGACATGTCCCTTTTGAGTTCCCATGAGTGGCAGAGTCTTCCCTAGCCTGGTCCCCTCCAGGTGACTTGCATGACAATTCCCTGTAATGCTGTAACCCACATGATTCCTGACCACTGGCTCTGCTTGCCAGGGCTGGCAGGGGTTGAAGTCCACACATCTGGAGACTCCATGATAGGAAGGGATACTAGAAATATCACAAAGCAAGTCCTAATACCTGTCCATGAATTGAAGCCACCCAGAGAGGCAAAAGCTGCCCACTGGCATTCATGTATCCTGATATTTGAACTTTTGCAGAGTTGGCAGCTAAACCGTAACGCTGACTCCTATAACCTCACTGCAAAATGGGAAGAGCGCCAACCTTCTTCAGTGGGTGACAGAGAGTAAATAAAACAAAAATATATCACTTGCTACACATGTCCAAAAAAGGAAGCCAGTGTGATTCAGTGAACTGTAAGCTCTGTGGAGCAGAGACTTTTCTTTTTTGCTTACACTGTAAAGCATCAAGCCTATTGGAAGCACTATACATAGCAAAAGGGGCATTTAAATGTACATCGTCTGATTGCGTATGGTTAAGAAGGCTCACCCTCAGTGACTAAGTGTGGAAACATTGCTTAGATCAGAGAAGAGCTGCTGGCATTGTCTTGATGTAACACATACAAAGAAGGCAAAGGGTTATTGTGGTACCTAAAAAGAAACAACCGTCTTACGGCAGAAGCCTCTGCGGACGCAAGACCACTCCTTCCGAGAAGAGCAGGCCCGGCAGCGCAGCGGCAGAGGCCCTGCTGGGCACGCAAGAGGCCCCAGCCTGAGCCGCAGCGCCTTTAAGAGGGGCCGGACAAGTCCTGCCTGAACCCCTGGCGAGCTGCTGGTGCCCGTCCGAGCTGAAATCGCTGAGCTAGACGGAGCCAAGGCAGCTTTCATGCTCCTGGATGCACCTGACGACTCTTTCGGGGGCGGGGGGAGCGGGGCCGTCTGAACAGCATGATGGGCCCCGGGGGGCAACGCCGTGCACTGGGGCCCCTACGACAATGACGACTACTGTTCATTTTGGAGGTTTTCCCATTTTCCAAGGGTTAACATACACTGATTAGTATGGGGCCCATGCGTTAAGATGGCCCTGGGGGGGAGGTAGTTTTTTTAATATCTGCACACAAGCGTGCATGCGTGCAGGCTCTGCCAGCTGCAGAGGGGCAAAACTTGGGAGTTCAAGGGCCGTGAGAGTGACTGGGCATTCTGGGACAGGCAATCAGGGCTTCAAGGCAAGCAAGCCAATTATTCCCTGCACAGGACCAGCCAACCATTGTCATTATTCCTGCCGACAAGGAAAGGAAGAATTACTGGGAGGTCAGCGTAGCTCATATTGGGTTTAATTCTCCTCTCAGCATGCAGAAAGCCCCTGTGCCCCCCCCCCCCCCCCCCCCCGGCTGTCCTGAGAATGGAGAGGAAGAGCTGCCCTTACTCAAAGGATTTCCAGTGGAAATAAAGGGAGCCTTTGGCAAGGTGGGCTGACCAGTTGCGCTGGACCTCGCCTCTCTCCCCAGAAAATGAGTCACCCAAGATGGGCCGTGGCACATGCCGCCCAACACGAAATAGAGCCAGGGACAGGATGCGGAATCCCGTCAGACGGATGCTGGTTCCAGCCCTGACAGAGTTAGGAAAGAGACGTGCCAAGGAGCAAAGACAGCTGTCCCTTTCCTCCCCATCCCACCCCAAAGGGGCTGCAAGAACAGCAGTCCCACCACAGCACAGACTTCTGGCTTCTGCTTCCAGCAGGCAGCAATGGCTGGAAAAGCCTCCTTGCCTCTCAGGTTGGAGATTTTCTAGAAAGCCAGTGAGACTTTCACTGTGAGACCTCGCTTTTATTCACAGCTATCCAGTTTAGCCTCTCCCCCTTCCCCAGCGTGCGCGAGCGTGTGCACGCACGCACACACACACACAGAGCTATTGCTGAATTGTCTGGCTGTTCAGATATTCATGATTTTTTAAAGGGGGAGAGAGCCTGCAAAAGGAGTCCCACAGAGGGGCATAAGGGGGTGTTGTAAAGCAACAGCCAAGCACACCCCTCCTCGCTCGTGGGAAAAAGCAACAGCTGCAGAGCAGAGCTCTCTCCCCAACCCAAACAAAAGGGGTAGGGGGGAATCAGAGCTACCCATTGTCAGAAGCTAAAGATACCAGGCCCGATGCACAGGGCTGGCTCTCTCCCCACTTTGATATTCAATCCCTACCTGTTTCAGAATGCACAGATCAGAGCACAGACAGACCGACCCACACACACCAGAAACACAAGCTTATCTGGGCTCCCTTGTTGGGGGGAAAAAGAGAAACACACACACACACAAGGAGGGGATTTGACTAAGCTGCTGGAACTGCCTCTTAGAAAGAAAACGCAAAGCGAAACTAGAGCAGCAGCCCTCCCAAAGAGGGGCTCTTCCTCCTCCTTTCCCGGAAAGCAGAGACCAAATGACTCTCTGGCGTTATGACTAAGAGGCCACGAACTTCCACGGCGCTCAGCAGCACCAGAAGAAACCACTGGCTTCAGGTTGCCCTCCTGGGGTTTTCAGGCGGCCCACGAGTCTTAGAGGACTTCTGCAAGCCAGCGGCATCCCCGCGCCTTTGGCCACACGGCCGGTGCCCCAGTGGGCCAGCCCTGCCAGCCAATGTTCCCTGCCTCTTCCCTGGAGCCTCGGCCCCCACCTCCACCAGCTCGCCCCTCTTTCTGTGTCCCGGGCCTGCCCCATCATGCCCCTTCAGCCTCCTTCCCGCAGGTTTCCCATGTCTTGGCATCTGCAAGACCACCCCCCACACCATGGGAGAATGAAGCCCCCACCCGAACCGACAACGGCACGCTTCCCTCGCGAATGCTGGGCCACAGGCTCTTCGGCTGCCCAGCAACTAGACTTTCGTCGCTCTGCAGATTGCGCGGGCGGCTTCTCAGCAAGAACAATGCGGGCTCTCCACAGGACCCGTAAGGAGGGGGGTGGAGAAGGGGGCATTCCGTGAGGGGTGCTGAGGGGTGCTGCCGTGAGCCAGAGAGTGCCTCTGGGGGCAGCCACTCCAGTGCAGAGTCTCTAAGAAAACGCAGTCCTTTTTCTGCTGGGGCAGCCATGACTGCCTTTCCCTTCCTTCAAGAGCTGGTGAAACTCCACCAAATCTCACCAACAAGGGCACGGCCGCTCCTGGGTGTTGCAGGTGGGTGGGGAAGATGCTGGGGATCTGAACGCTCTTTCCACATTGCTGGCAGACTGTTCAGGTCCTATTCCTCGGCCTAGTTTTACCTCTTGACCAGAGAATGCAAAAGAGACACTTCACAGGGCTAGTGCAAGAGCGAGCCATGCTAAAACTTAGCAGCTTGAAGGGAAGCTGGGGCTCCATTGTGAAGAAGGGAGTACCAAAGAATATCCAATATGCAAAGCAGGGGTTTGGGTGATCCTGAAGGGCAAACCATTTCTTGACTGTGGCGAATCCTGTGGCAACCTGCTCAAAGAGATACGTCAGGGCCATGGGATGCAGAAGCTTTTGCAACTGAGGGAATAGTGAGGGGGGGGGGGAACAGCAAGATCTGGGGACCGTTGGGCAAGGCATTCCAAACAGAGGCCTCTTCATCAGACAAGGGCAGCCCCCAGCAGCATCAGAGCTTCTGCCCCACCTATGGCATGTGGCACCTCCCTCTGGCTTCCCAGGAGAGTGCCTTGCAGGACCCTGAAGACAGGGTGGCCAGGCCTGACATTCGTGTCCCAGGTAGATGCAAAGGTAGGCCTGGATGCACTCGTGGCGGCTTCTCCAGTCTGGATGTGTGCTGCATCACAACTCCCATCATCCCCAGTCAGCATGGACCCTGGGGCATAAGGCACTGCTTTTCCCAAAGGCAGAGCATGGCCCACGGAACCCTGAACCGCCAGGGCTCTGCAGGGCTTCAGCCAGGCGCTTGCTGGACCAATGAGTCACAGCTAGCCCCAAACTCTGTGGTCCAACTCGCTTGGGGGGCACCTGAAATCTGGGGAAGGCTTAACAGGCAGAGCCAGGGCAGGATCTGAACCCTTACCACCCAGCTCCACTTCTAGTGAGGTGCTCTGTTTTCAAATATCCATGCATTTATGCCCCCGTGTGCAAAGGAACGTCAGAAAAGGCCCAGGTCTGAGCATGGAACCCGCACGACGCAGCCTGTGGCTCGCGCAAGAGGCCCAACATGGAGCCCATGGGCAGTGGGGCAGGCACGGCCCAGTCAGTCACAGGAGCTCCCTGGCTCTCAGCAGACGCCTCCCTCACCAGCCCTGTTGCAAGGCCCCTGAACAAGCAACCACAACCCTGCCCTCCAGCCTAGAACAGCTGCCAACTGAGTTGTAGAGGGCACATCTGGAGGGCACAAGGTTGGGGAAGGCCAAGCAAAGCAGCAGCCAGACACTTCCTCCTTCATCTTGGCCCATGCCGCACAGAAATCTGAAGCTGTTGCCTGCTTGTTTGGCCATGGGCTGTATGAGTACAACCCGTCTTGTATACCCGAAGGATTACATGGCCCACCTCGGGGGACGTGCACACACAGGGTCACAGTGCCACAGCGGGGGCCCTGCTTGCATGCAGGAGGAGCCAGGTTAAAGGTTCGGCATCTCCAGGCAGGATAAGAAAACTCCCACCCGAAGCCCCAGAGAGCCAAGGTGGCTCAGAGTGAAGGCCAGCAAGTGGAACCGAGGGTCCGATTCAGCCCAACGCGGCTTCCTGAGCACCACCTGTGCTGGCGTCACAATGCAAGAGGAGTGAATTAAGGTGAGGGGAACCACTGAGTGCACAGCTCAGCTTACAGGCCAGCTGAGTCCATGCGCTTTATTAGAAACCGACTGATTCAGTGAGTCAGGCCGTTTGAGGGAAGTTCCACCAGCCTGACACCCACCCTGAAGGCACTTCTGCATTGAGAGAAAAATTCTGCTAACTTCAAAGCAGGCAAGGTGCATCCAGGGACTTCACCCTACAGAACGGGCAAGGATGTGTGCGCGCACACAGTGTGACATCTGACATCCGCCCTCAGAAAGTAACGGAGTAAAAAAAAAAAAAGGAAGAGGAGGTGAAAGAGAGAGGCTGCAGATGCAGGAAATCTGACGCATGTTCACAAAATAGAAAGGACTAAAAAAACTGTACCCAAGGACAGGCAGCGTTCAACAATTTGATTTCCCTAATAAATTTGAGCCTGTTCTGCAGACAAAACGTTTGCCCCTCAAGGCAGAAGTCTCCTGTCAGAGAGAGGTGGTCTTTCACACGTCGCACAAGGATCCAAGCCAAGTTCACAATGGAAACCTCGGAGGCCTCCGGCAGCCGTTAAAAATATGCCATGCTGCTGAACGGCCCACTGAGTAGGAATGATGGGAGCATGCAGAGGGGGTGCCACATGGGAGCAACTGGTCCACTGTTCCCCAGCTCCCCTCACACCCTGCAGCCACCAGGCCCTCCACGGAACAAGCCAATCGCAACATGCCTGGGCAACAGCCCGTCTCTCCCGCCCGCTCTGTGGTGTGGAAGACACCCACCCCCAGCATGGGCCTTTGTTAAATTTCAAAAACACCACTGGAAGAACGAAGCCGGCCCCCCCCCCCCCAGCCACCACTTCTCCCTCAAGTGTCATGAAGAACAAATGCACAGGACCACACGCACATTTCTGCTGGAGAGCCAACACTCTGCAAACTTTTCTTCCTCCCTCCCTCCCTTTCTCTGTCTGTCTGTCTGTCTTTAAAAGAGCCATCACTTCTTCAAAAAGCAAGCGGCTAAGGAGGAATCCCTCCTCCTCCTGCCTGCCAATCCGGTCTGTTTGGTTTGCAAAGCTTCTCTGAAAAGCAAAACAAAGCGCACACATATCCATCTATACACACCAAACAAAAACACACGGAGTCACACTTGGTCCTTCAGGTGAGTGGCAGGTCAAAAGAGCCCCTGGAGCTCAGACCAAGGTAAGGGCAGGCTCACTTCGCGCCTGTGGTTGCAGCATGAACGTTGGCAACCGCTTCCCTTCTGCGCAGGCCTTCCCTAACCGGGTGCCCTCCAGGTGTCTCAGGCGCCAAAATCTATCGGTCACAGCCAGCACAGCTGATGGCGAGGAAACCCCGGGGTGCAGTCTAAAGCCGTCCGTCCAGGCGCCCCCTGAGGAGGGCTGCCCCAGCACCAGACGACCGACCTTCCAGAGGGTCCCCTTCGGGCTGCGTCGCTGGCCAAGATAGCCCCCCGCCCTGTCAACAGGCCAGAACCTGCGCAGGAACTGACCCTCCAGTCCCCAGCCCCCTGTCCCCAGCAGGGATCAGCCAGAGGCAGCAAGCAGGGCGCGGGGAGGCCTGCCCAGCGGCGAACCGCCACCCGAGGTCCGGCAAAGTGGCTCCCACCTTCCCCCTCCTCCAACTCGGCCTCCTCCGGAAGGGTTGCAAGACAACCCTCCTTAGCCGCATGCTGGCCTGGGGATGATGGGAGCTGCAGTACAGCCCCTCTGGAGTGCCACAGTACTGCCCTCGGTAGAGAGCAGGCAGCAGTTGCGCTCCAGCCCCCGGAGGCACGCACAGGGATGCGGGGAGCCGCCGCACGGCCCGTCCGGAGGACCACGGCACGGCTCGGCTCGCCTCCTCTGGGCACAACTAACTGGAACCCTGGCCCGGAGAAAGCCGCCGCCGGGCCGGCCAGGATGGCCCCGGTCGCCGCGCCACCCCGCGCCTGCGGGGGCAGAGAAAGGGCCCCGGAAGGTCAGGGCGCCGCGCAGAAGAGGAGAAGGCGGCGGGGGGGGAGGCGGCGAGTTCGAGTGCTGCCCGTCCCGCCGGGCGTCCCCGGCAGCCCCCGCCCGCGGCGCGCTTACCTCGGCTCAGGACGGGCAGCAGCGGCAGCAGCAGCAGCAGGAGGAGGGCGCGGCGGCGGCGGCGGCAGCTCCGCTCCCGGAGGGGCCGCATCCCTCCCGCTGCGCTCGGCGGCGCGTCCCCCGCGCCCCCTCGCCGTGCCCTGCCTCTCGCCGGGGAGCGGGGCCGGCCACGCGGAGCGGCACGAGGCGGCGGCGGGCGGCCCGCGCCTCC